TTTTTTTTTAAGAAAAAGATAATGATCAAAGGCAAAAAAGAAAAAAGAGTGACAGCCTTGGATGGAAACCCCCAGAGGCAGTTCCACCATGCCCTACAAGGGCGTCATGAGTCAGAATTGAATCATTGGCAGTGAGTTCTTGTAAGAAGAAATCAGTGTATATGTCCCTTGGACATTTGGAATAATTTGAGACTCCCCAAACGGCTTTGCTTCTGTGGCTCCTGGTTGGTTACCTTTCTAACTAATAAACCAGGTCTTCTTTCTCTGTTCCATTTGTGATGATTATTGACTAGGCTCATCACCTCAGGGCACTGACCCACTATGTAAGGTAACAATTCCACTTTCCTATTTGTCTTCCCCTCTATCCCTTCTCCCAACATACAGTTCCCACGATAAACCTGGAAATGGAAAAGAAATCCTGGCACTAAATTGAGATGACTAGGCTTTAATAGAAGCTTTATGAGATGGTTGAAAACATCCTCAGATCAGATAGTGTCATTTGCAAATTTGGCTAGAAAATTCTAGTTAACGCATATAAAAGACAGACAATGAATAAGGAAGATGAGAGGAGTTGACACATTTGAATCATGGATATGACAAAGAATATTAAAAGTACCATGGACTTCCTAAAGAAACAACAAATATATCTTGTACATACACAGCTAGTCCATATACAACAAGTACAGCCAGAATGCTCCTTAAAAGTGAGAATAAAATCAAACATACAAACATAAACCAAAAATGATGAGACTTCACATACTTTGGTCATGGTATCTGGAGAGGATGTCATGAAGATTCCCTGAAGAAGGATATCATGCTTGGTAAAGCAGAAGGGCTGAAAAACAGAAAGCAAGAGAGAAAGAGCCCAATGAGATGGATGGACACAGTGGCTGTAAGAATGGGCTGCAATACAACAATTGTGAGGATGGTGCAGTAGAGAGCTGTGTGTTGCTCTGTTATACATCGGGGCCCCTCTGAGTGGAATAAAACTTGATGGCACCTAACAACAACACTGGTGCCACATACTGCTCTAGATAATGGGGACACAGGTGTAAACTTATGGACAAAAACTGTGTCTTACAATTACACTGAATATGGAACTGTTTCAGGAATGACATGATGGGAGAAATGGTGTTGGAGAAAAATGAACGTGGATATGGAGGCATGCTGGGGATTTGAGTTTGCTCTTTCTCTCCTCTCTTAAAATGCTTAAACTGTCACTCTGTAAACATGTATCAGACCAGGACACGGCACAGCATATTTCTAACTGGAATGGCTCAGGCGAGTTAGGTGTCAAGTCCGGATGTATTGGGATCAGGCACTGGCTAGTCACAACTCACTGTAGGCATGGGATGAATGCCACTGGGAAGAAAGGTAGATGATGTGAAGAGTAGACGTGAGACCTCATGCTTTGATTTCATGGGACTTTACCCAGCACTCCCTCTCTTCCTGACTCATCTTTACTTGACCGCCCACTAGTTATCTTCCGAGAAGCTCTCTGTTTCCATGGTTTGCTGTTTCCACTCCTGGTGCCTGCTGCTGCTAAGGACAGTGAACAGGGCACAATGGAGGCACTAAAGCAGGCTGAGCAGCTCCCTTGGGGCTGGGCCCAGCTTCCCAGGGCCTGGGGATGCCTGAATCAGGAATGATTGCTCAGAACCTAGGCTTGGGAATCAGAGCTAGCAGGGAGTGACTAACTGGATTGCATGAAGAGATGGTGAGTGGAGACTTTAGCAGGACTATTAGAGGGCACACACACACAAGACTGAGTAGTGGGCAGAAAGACATATGTATTTATATAGAAAGTACATCAGAGACAGAGCCTCAAGGAGACAGAGAAACCGAGAAGACAGTGGGAGAAAGCACTAGGGAAAGTCTAGGGAGAGGGGAATAGCTTGAGTAACTAGAAGCACGGAGAACAAGAAGGAAGATAGAGAAGGGAGGTGATTGCTGAGGGCAGAGAGAGAGAGGGTGGGGAGACTGAGAAAAAGAGCAAGACTAAGAAGTAAGGAGAGCAAAGAAAGGAAAGAAGAGAGGAAAACACTGACTTAGAGGCAGACTGAGAAACAGAAATATAGACTCGGACATACACACAGAGAGATAGAGATAAAGGTATTCAGACAGTCAGGAAGCAATTGAGACAGAGACAGACAAGAGAAGAGACTAGGGAGATGGAGATGGTGACGTAACAGGGAGAGCTGAGATTAGGTCCAGGTTAGAGGTTCAGACAGACACACACTGTAAGGAGCCCACCCAGCCCAGGAGCTGAGCACCAGGATTTGAGCTGACATCTGATTCATAGAGGAGGGACACCAGCAGGAGAAGCCACCTCTATTTGCTAGTTGACATTCAAAATACCATA